TCTGTGTGTGTGTGTGTGTGTGTGTGTTAACAGTGGCTTCATTTTGCCCACTTCCTCTCCTCACACACTCCAAATAAACACATTGCCTTCTACTGTTTATCCTAATGTTTCATCCCACTCTTCATCCCACCTTTTCTGATATTATCCTCCTCAGGACTGAGAATAAGAAAGCGAGAGAATAAAAGGAAAAGAGGGTGAAAAGAGAAATGTGATATTTTTCATACGGAGATGACAGTTTTTTCATGTCATGACCCCTTTAATATCTTTGTGGTAACCATGATACATTTTTATTTTTAGGCTTTTTTGATGAAGAGAAGGTTCAAAAGGACTATTTATTTTGTGACATTATAAATGTTTTTTTTACTATCACTTTTGATCAGTTTAATGCATTCTTGCGGAATAAAAAAAAATATTAAAAAATATACATTTTACTGACCCCAAACATCTAATATATAGTCTATCTGCAAGGGTTTTAACTCAGAAATTTCCAGCACATTCCAATGCCCGTCTAAATGTGATGGTTCCCAGTTTTATGTAGGACAAGTATAGGATATGTCCGCTTTAAGAAAGATCTTACAATAACCTAATGTTCATGTGCAGATGTGATAATGTGTCTCTATCAGGGTATTGAAGGTGTGAAAAGGACTGCAGTGTGTGTGTGTGTGTTTGGGTCGTATTCCTCTCATATGCTCATAAATCATCAGCCTGCATTTCTCTGCCAGCGTCTGAACAGAAGGGGTGGCGCTGGGGTGAGCCAACGCATTAATGATTTTTCTCAGACAGAGAGAAAAAGAGAGACACGTAGATAGACCTGAAGCTTGTCATGTCATATAGTGTATAGGCAGGAACATCACTTTCGTGCATGCATTTTATGTATAGTGCTTTTTTGTCAATTTGGGAGCTTGACAGATGTGGTCACTATATACAGGTCAGTTTCAAAATTTCTCTTCTTGTTTCACATGAAAAATAACAGAATACAGGTTTGGAATGACACGGAGGTGAGTAAATAATGGCAGGATTTTCATGTTTAGGTGAAATATTTCTTTAAATATTTTGGAAAGGTTCTGATTGATTCACACTACACTGCCAAACCAACTGGTTACCTCTACCATTCCGAGTCAGATGAAGCCGACGGGCTGTTGGCAGGGCACAAAAAAAAAGTAAAGTCCTAATTTACAACCCACAAAGAGTGCCAGGATTTCAGCGGTTGAGAAGAATTTACAAGGTTATTATTTTCACAACATGTGGGGACATCTTGTGCCATATTTAAAATCCCATTAGGAGCCAGGGATTCATTTTCAAACTGGACCGCTCAGGTCAGCAGAACACGCAGCAGAAGCATGATCAAGTCTTAAGGAAATTCATAAAGTCAGATAAAGTTTGACTAGGTCCGAAATGGAATTCAACAAAGTGTACTAGGCCATTTGGAGCAGAAACTCAGTTTATAACTGTGTAAACTAGAGGGATCCAAAAAAACAATAGTCACCCTTTCCCAGGAATGTTTGAGACACAACTATAAAAAAGAATAATGAAAGAAAAAAAACAATAATGAAAACATGTCCCTGACAACTCACAGCTATCAGGTTTATCGTTTCCTTCTGTGTGTGTACTTGTGTAGATGTGTCTTACTATTTCAACTCACTGTGATACATGGATGGATGGATGGATGGATGTAAAGATGGATAGATGGATAGATGGATAGATAGATAGATAGATAGATAGATAGAATCTGTCTTAATCTTAATCTATCTATGCGTCTGTCTTTTCATCCCTCATGTCTTTCCACCTCTGTCTGTCTATCCATTACTAAACCTGTCTATCCATCTGTCTATTCAGACAGACAGACAGATAGACAGCATATGCTTATTGCATATGATTATTCCTTTATGCATATTCATAAATAGACCACAACAACTGCTGTAAACCACATTCTTTCATAAACTATATGAGGTGTTGCAGAAGTGGACATACAGTAAAACGGTGACCCACACAGGTCAATAGAACTGACAGAAGCCTTAGTCAAAAGAACATGGCCTCTTATAGAGCTCTAGTTTTCCACAGCAGACAGACGGCGCCAATGTCACACACACACACACACACACACACACACTCACTCATATGACACTGCTCTAGACTCAGGCCAGTAGGACGCACTGGTGAATGAAGAATTGTAAACACACAACACCACACATCTCTCTCTCGCACACTCTCATACACATATACATAAGTCTTATACACGAGCCAATGGGCCATACTGGTGACAGACAAACTGTAAACAAGAAACATACATACATTCACAAACACACAGATTCCCAAACACACACTATTGATGAGTGAGGGTGATGAAAGAAGGTGAGAGGTTCATTTAGGGTGAGAATAAACGTGTGAAAGCTTGCCTGTTTGTAATCAGTGTGTCCGACTGTGAGACCAAGGCAGATGAGGAAGACTGTGCGTGGGCTTAAAGGTGCAGTGTGTCATTTCTGCACCACTAACAGCACGAAACGAAATTGCAAACGATGGATGACAGCTGTTGTTTCTATCCAACATTATAAACTCAATTTTAAATTATAAATAAATTATACATTTATTATTATTATTAATAATAATAATAAATCTTGGTGTTTCCATTCAGTTTCTGCGATATCACAAAATTTGCCTAACAATATGTAGGTGGAAACCTGGATATCGTCTGCATATTTTCTTGATCTGGTAGTCTAATCTGATTGGCTGACTTTATGCCTTTACGGTTTACAGCCTTTTGTGATTGTGTGTGAGTACCTCAACTCTTTATTACTGTAGGATTATTGTCTTCTGTAAATTATTTAAAGATTTGTATGTCAGATAGCTTATATTTAAGTAGTACTAAATCAAAATAATAAAATAAAAATATTAAATAAAATAAAAATAAATATATTTTTTAAAGTAATTAAAAACAGCATGAATTTCATGGATAATCATTGGCTCTTTTTTATTTTATTTATTTATATTATATTAAGGTTCTTGTCGACTATCAGTTAGCTATCCCAAAAACAACCCTTTAGCTTGTTTACAGACAAGTACACAAATGTACCACGCACTCACATAAAAAAACACACACACTACTACAGTATTTACCAAAGTTTTGCTTTTGAAGTAAAAATACTACTTGCAGGAGCAGAGATTCAGCAAAAGAGTTATGGGCTTCCCAA